CCCCAGGGGTCCTGACCCCCAGGTTGCTCTGGAGGATTTCAAGCAGAGGCTGGATGGCCATCTATCGGGGATGCTTTGATTGTGTCCTCCTACAATACCTTGATTGCTTTGATTGTGTCTTCCCAACAAACCTCCAACAAAGGATTCCCCCAGGCAGCTAGCAGCCAAGCTTTGAAGCTACAAGGCCATTCAGTGCTAATCAAGGTAGTCAATTGCAACATTTACACTTGCCTCCAACAGACAAGAGTTCTTTCTCCCACCCTGGACATTATTATTATTATTATTATTATTATTATTATTATTATTATTTTACATAGTGTAATTTTTATTATTACGTAGTTCTATTGATTGTGGATTCTTTTTGAAAATACAAAGCCTTGGAGTCTGGACTTTTACCAGTTAGCAAAAAATAGTAATGTCGAAGGCTTTCATGGCTGGAATCACTAGGTTCTTGTGGGTTTTTTCGGGCTATAGAGCCATGTTCTAGAAGCATTTCTCCTGACGTTTCGCCTGCATCTATGGCAAGCATCCTCAGAGGTGTGAGGATGCTTGCCATAGATGCAGGCGAAACGTCAGGAGAAATGTCTCTAGAACATGGCTCTATAGCCCGAAAAAACCCACAAGAACCTAAAAAATAGTAAGTTCGAATCTCTCTCAAATCCAAGTATTAACATCATCTGTTCTGAAAATCATTGAGAGCCGACGGTGCCGTCTGGTGGTTGGCACAAGAAAGGCAAGAAGAAGTTGCTCAAAGTTCGCTTCTGGCTTTGAAAAGGTTAGAGAAGGAAGGAAGGAGAGAAGGAAAGAAAAAGGGAAAGAAGGAAGGAAAGAGAGAGCGAAGGAAGGGGGAAGATGTAGAGAAAGAGGGAGGAAGAAAAGAAGGAAAGAGAGAAGGAAGAAAAGAGAACAGAAGAGAAAGAAAAAGGGGGAAGGAAGGAAAGAGATAGAAGGAAGGAAGAAGAGAAGGAAAGACAGGAAGGAAGGAAAGAGGGAGTGAAGGAAGGAGGGAAAGAAGGAGAGAAAGAGGGAAGGTTGGCCACAGCAAAGCGTGGCGGGTACAGCTAGTCCTTGGAAGGGTAGAAGGGAGGGAAGGAGAACAAAGGAAAAAGAATGAACAGAGGGAAGGGGAAAAGGGAGAAGGAAGGAAGGGAAGGAAGGAGGAATAAAGAAAAAGGTGGAAATGAAGAGAGGAAAGGGGAAAAGAAGGGCAAGAAAGAACGGGAGAAGGGAAGGAAAAGGGAATGAACAGAGGGAAGGGGGAAAATGAAAGAAAAAGAAGGGAAGGAAGGAGGATGAAAGGAAAAGGAGAGAATGAAGAAAGGAAATGAGGAAAAGAAGGGCAAGAAAGAAAGGGAGAATGAAGGGGGAAGAAAGAAAAAGGATTGAGCAGAGGGAAGAGGAAAAGAAGTGAAAGGAATGGGGAAGGAAGGAAGGGAAGGAAGGAGGAAGAAAGAAAAAGGTGGAAATGAAGAGAGGAAAGGGGAAAAGAAGGGCAAGAAAGAACAGGAGAAGGGAAGGAAGGGGGAAGGAAAAGGGAATGAACAGAGGGAAGGGGGAAAATGAAAGAAAAGGAAGGGAAGGAAGGAGGATGAAAGGAAAAAGAGAATGAAGAAAGGAAATGGGGAAAAGAAGGGCAAGAAAGAAAGGGAGAAGGAAGGGGGAAGAAAGAAAAAGGAATGAACAGAGGGTAGAGGAAAAGAAGTGAAAGGTGGAGAAGGAAGGGAAGGAAGGAGGAAGAAAGAAAAAAAGGTGGAAATGAAGAGAGGAAAGGGGAAAAGAAGGGCAAGAAAGAAAGGCAGAAGGAAGGGAAGGAATGGGGAAGAAAGGAAAAGGAAATGAACAGAGGGAAAGGGGGAAAGGAAAGAAAAGGAAGGGAAGGAAGGAGGATGAAAGGAAAAGGAGGGAATGGAGAGAGGAAAGGGGAAAAGAAGGGCAAGAAAGGAAGGCAGAAGGAAGGGAAGGAAAGGGAAATAAAGGGAAAAGAATGAAGAGAGGAAAGGGGGAAAGAAGTGAATGTATAAGGAAGGGAAGGAAAAAGGAAGAAAGGGAAAGGAGGGAATGAAGAGAGGAAAGGGGAAAGAAGGGCAAGAAAGAAAAGCAGAAGGAAGGGAAGGAATGGGGAAGAAAGGAAAAGGAAATGAACAGAGGGAAGGGGGAAAATGAAAGAAAAGGAAGAGAAGGAAAGAGGATGAAGGGAAAAGGAAGGAATAAAGAGAGGAAAGGGGAAAAAGAAGGGCAAGAAAGGAAGGCAGAAGGAAGGGATGGAATGGGGAAGAAAGGAAAAGGAAATGAAGAGAGGAAAGGGGGAAAGACGTGAATGTATAAGGAAGGGAAGGAAAGAGAAAGAAAGGGAAAGGAGGGAATGAAGAGAGGGAAGGGGAAAAGAAGTGAAAGGAATGGATAAGGAAGGGAAGGAAGGCTGAGAAAGAAAAAGGAGGGAACCAAAATCAAGAAAGGGGAAAAGAAGTGAATGTATAGGGAAGGAGAAGAAAGAAAGAAAGAAAGAAAGAAAGAAAGAAAGAAAGAAAGAAAAGGGAAAAGAAGAGCAAGAGAACAATGAAGAAAGAAGGGAAGGAAAGGTGAGAAAGAAAAACAAGGGAAGGAAAAGCAAGGAAAATGCGATGCAACAACGGGTTCAATCTTGTGCGGTTGTGTTTAGGATTTACGGCCTCCTGGGACAAGGCCGCACGCCTTGCCTCTTCATCTTCTTCCAAGCCAGAGCAAGTTGGCCTTCAGGGCTCCCTAAATTCACACCTGTCCTCTTAATCTGGGCGAGGCATCGTCGTTTTTTTAATCCCAGACATGGGAAACGTGTGGGCTTGGCTTTGGCTTGGGAAATGGTGCCAGGAGCCGGGTTGCCTTAATCCCGAGGAATCGCAGAACATGAAAATCCCTCGACTGGGTTCATTTCGTAGCACATCATCATAAAAGAAATGCCATTCAGCTTAAAACAACCACAGTCCCATCCTATGCGATAATAGCCGTGCATCCCTTATCCGAAATGCTCAATCGTTTGGATTTTCCCCAGATTTTCATAGAATCACAAAATCCTAGAGTTGGAAGAAGCCTCGTGGGCCATCCAGTTCAACCCCACTCTGCCAAGAAGCAGGAAAATCGCATTCAAAGCACCCCCGACAGATGGTCATCCAGCCTCTGCTTAAAAGCCTCCAAAGAAGGAGCCTCCACCACACTCTGGGGCAGAGAGTTCCACTGCTGAACAGCTCTCACAGTCAGGAACTAGCCATCCATCTATCCGTCCATCTCTCTATCCAGCCAGGCATCAATCCAGCCATCTATCCACCCACCCATCCAGCTAGCTAGCCAGCCATCTATCCAGTCAGCCAGCCAGCTAGTGAGCTATCTATCTATCTATCTATCTATCTATCTATCTATCTATCTATCTATCTATCTATCTATCTATCTATCTATCCAGCCATCCAGCTATCTATCCATCCACCCATCCGGGCACCCACCCACCCATCCTCCCATCCATCCAGCTATCTATCCATTCAGCCATCCAGCTATCCTGCTATCTATTCATCCATCCAGCCATCCATCCGGCCACACACCCACCCAGCTATCTATCCATCCAGCTATCTATCCAGCCAGCTAGCTATCCAACCATCTATCCATCCAGCTATCTATCTATCCAGCCAGCCATCCAGCTATCCATCCATCCATCCATCCATCCAGCTATCTATTCATCCATCCATCCAACCAACCATCTATCTATCCATCCAGCTATCTATTCATCCATCCGGCCACCCACCCACCCAGCTATCTATCCATCAAGCTATCTATCCATCCAGCTATCTATCTATCCAGCCATCCATCCAGCTATCTATCCATCAATCCATCCAGCTATCCATTCATCCAGCCAGCCATCCAACCAACCAACCATCTATCTATCCATCCAGCTATCTATTCATCCATCCGACCACCCACCCACCCACCCATTCATTCATCCATCTATCCAGCCAGCCAGTGAGCCATCCATCCAGCTATCCATCCATCCATCCATCCATCCATCCATCCATCTATTCATCCATCTGACCATCCATCCAGCCACCCACCCACCCATCCATCCAGCTATTGATCCATCCATCTATCCATCCCTCCATCCATCCAGCTATCTATACATCCATCCAGCTATCCAGCTATCTATTCATCCACCCACCCACCCATCCAGCTATCTATCTATCTATCCATCCATCCATCCATCCATCCATCCAGCTATCCAACCATCTATCCATCCAGCTATCTATCTATTCAGCCATCCAGCCAGCCAGCCAGCCATCCAGCCACCCACCCAGCTATCTATCCATCCGGTCATCCAGCTATCCAACCATCTATCCATCCAGCTATCCAGCTATCTATTCATCCATCTGGCCACCCACCCATCCATTCATCCATCCATTTATCTAGCCAGGGAGCCAGCCATCCAGTTATCTATCCATCCAGCCATCCAGCTATCTACCCATCCATCCAGCTATCCAGCTATCTATTCATCCATCCAGTCAGCCATCCGGCCACCCACCCACCCATCCATCCAGCTATCTATCCATCCACCCAGCTATCCAACCATCTATCCATCCATCCATCCATCCATCCATCCATGCATCCAGCTAGCCAGCCAGTCAGTCAGTCAGCTATCCAGCTAGCTATTCATCCATCGGGCCATCCATCGGGCCACCCATCCATCCATCTATCCAGCCAGCCAGTCAACCATCTATCCCTCTATCCCTCCATCCAACCAGCTATCCTTCTTTCCATCCTTCCATCCATCCAATCACCTTGTTTCTGCTCTATCTATACCTTTATGTCTACTTTTGACTGCCTGGCTGCTGGGGGTTGGACTAGGGCGAGAGAGAGCTCCGCCCACAAGGGGGCGTGGCCTGATTGTATGGGGGAGGTGTCCCCCCCCCCGCCTCAGGGAGGCATCTCAGGGCGAGAGCACCGCCCTCCAAGGGGCGTGGCTTTGGCTGGAGTGCCTCCCTGGCCCGTCGGAGTGGGAGCTCAGTCCCGGGAAGGGAAGGCGAGGAGAAGGGGCGCAGGTGCTTCCTTCCACCACCTGTCATGGCCGGGCGCGTGTGGAGCCTGTCGGAGGTGCGTCGGCGGTGCGCGGAGGGCTCGTGCCTGGTGCTGCTGGGCCGGAGGGTCTTCGACGTGGAGCCCTTCGTGAGGCTGCACCCGGGAGGGGAGGAGGCGCTGCGGGGGAGGGCCGGCAAGGACATCCGGGATGCCCTCGAGGGACCCCCCCACAGGCACTCCCTCCAGGCCCGCAGGTGGCTCATGCAGTACCTGGCCGGGGAACTCGACGGAGAGGAAGAAGCAGAGCAAGGACGAGAAGGAGGAGAAGGAGGCACTCCAGACCAGGTAAGGCTTCCTCCCAGGACTCCCACTCTTCGGCCCCACACTGTTTTGGAACTGCAACTCCTTCCCTGTGAGGTCTGTAGCCTCACCTGGGGGACGACAGGTGAATCGAAAACACAGCCAAGCCTTCCTCAAAGCCTTCGGAACGGTGTCTCTTTGGGACTGCCACTCCTGGCATCTCGTAGCCAGGAATACCTAAAATAAGACCTTAGAGAGGTGCATTTCAGGTGTATCTCAGGTGGAGCCACTTCTACCTGATGTACACCTCTCCTAGGGACTGGATATTGGATGGGAGCAGGTAAGGCTTCCTCCCAGGACTCCCTCTCTTCGGCTCCACACGGTTTTGGGACTGCAGCTCCTTCCCTCTGAGGTCTGTAGCCTCACCTGTGGGCGACAGGTGAATCGAAAACACATCCAAGCCTTCCTCGAAGCCTTGGGAAAAGGTGTCCTTTTGGGACTGCCACTCCCAGCATCCCCTATATCCAAAATAAGATCTTTTTCTCCCTTAGAGAGGTGCATTTCAGGTGAACCACCTGAGATACACCTCTCCTAGGGACTGGATATGGGATGCTTCCTCCCAGGACTCCCACTCTTCGTCCCCACATGGTTTTGGGACTGCAACTCCTTCCCTGTGAGGTCTGTAGCCTCACCTGTGGCGACAGGTGAATCGAAAACACATCCAAACCTTCCTCAACTCCTTCAGAAATGGTATCCTTTTGGGACTGCCGCTCCCAGCATCCCCTATATCCAAAATAAGACCTTTTTTCTCCCTTAGAGAGGTGCATTTCAGGTGAACCACTTCCACCTGAGATACACCTCTCCTAGGGACTGGATATGGGATGGGAACAGGTAAAGCTTCCTCCCAGGATTCCCTCTCTTCAGCCCCACATGGCTTTGGGACTGCAACTCCTTCCTTCTGAGGTCTATAGCCTCACCTGGGGGCGACAGGTGAACCGAAAGCACATCCAAGCCTTCCTCACAGCCTTGGAGAAAGGTGTCCTTTGCTTCCTTTGCCGCTCCCAGCATCCCCTAGCCAGGATACCCAAAATAAGACCTTAGAGAGGTGCATTTCAGGTGTATCTCAGACGGAACCACTTCCACCTGAGATACACCTCTCCTAGGGATTGGATTTCAGATGGGAGCAGGTAAGGCTTCCTCCTAGGACTCCCTCTCTTCGGCCCGACAGGGCTTTGGGACTGCAACTCCTTCACTCTGAGGTGGATAGCCTCACCTGGGGGCAACAGGTGAATCGGAAACACAGCCAAGCTTCCCCGCAGCCTTGGGGAAAGGTGTCCTTTTAGGACGGCCACTCCTGGCATTCCAAAAGAAGGCCCTTTCCCTTACTCCTTCCCTGTGAGGTGTATAGCCTCACTTGGAGGTGACAGGTGAATCGAAAACACACCCAAGCCTTCCTTCTTCCCCATTCCCATTGCACCAGGTGAGGACTTCCACAGCCTTGGGGAAAGGTGTCCTTTAGGGATGGCCACTCCCAGCATCCCCTAGCCAGGGATACCGAGAGAAGACCCTTTCCCTTAGAGAGGTGCATTTCAGGTGTATCTCAGGTGGGAGCTTCCACAGCCTTGGGAAAAGGTGTCCTTTTGGGATGGCCACTCTAACCAGGTATCCCAAAAGAAGGCCCTTTTCCTTAGAGAGGTGCATTTCAGGTGTATCTCAAGTGGAGCCACTTCCCAGCCTACCTCTCCTGGGCCCGACAGGGCTTTGCGACAGCAACTCCTTCCCTGTGAGGTGTATAGCCTCACCTGGGGTGACAGGTGAATCGAAGGCACATCCAAGCCTTCCTTCTTCCACTTTCTCATTGCCGCAGGTGAGGACTTCCAGAGCCTTGGGGAAAGGTGTCCTTTTGGGACTGCCGTTCCCGGCATCCCCTAGCCAGGGATCACAAAAGAAAGTCCTTTCCCTTACTTCTTCCCTGTAAGGTATATAGCCTCACCTGGGGGCAACAGGTGAATCCAAAACGCATCCGAGCCTTCCTTCTTCCCTTTCCCATTACACCAGGTGAGGACTTCCAGAGCCCTGGGAAAAGGTGTCCTTTTGGGAGTGCCACTCCCAGCATCCCCTAGCCAGGGATCCCAAAAGAAGACCCTTTTCTTTAATCCTTCCCTGTAAGGTATATAGCCTCACCTGGGGGCAACAGGTGAATCGAAAGCATATCCAAGTCTTCCTTCTTCCCTTTCCCATTGCACCAGGTGAGGACTTCCAGAGCCCTGGGAAAAGGTGTCCTTTTGGGATGGCCACTCCCAGCATCCCCTAGCCAGGATACCCAAAATAAGACCTTAGAGAGGTGCATTTCAGGTGTATCTCAGGTGGAACCACTTCCACCTGAGATACACCTCTCCTAGGGGCTGGTATCAGATGGGAGCAGGTAAGGCTTCCTCCCAGGACTCCTTTTCTTGGGCCCGACAGGGCTTTTGGGACTACAACTCCTTCCCTCTGAGGTGGATAGCCTCACCTGGAGGCAACAGGTGAATCAAAAACACATCCAAGCTTTCCTTATTCTCCTTTCCCATTGCACCAGGTGAGGACTTCCAGAGCCTTGGGGAAAGGTGTCCTTTGGGGACTGCCGCTCCCGGCTTCCCCTAACCAGGTATCCCAAAAGAAGACCATTCCCTTAGATAGGTGCATTTCAGGTGTATCTCAGGTAGAGCCACTTCCCAGCCTTCCTCTCCTAGGAATTGATATCAGATAGAATTTTAAAACTTTTTTGAATGTTTATCCTGTCTCTATCTATTGTGAGTGTTTCGGGCTGTCTGGCCATGTTCCAGAAGCATTCTCTTCTGACCTTTTGCCTGCATTTGTCGCAAGAGGTTGTGAGGTCTGTTGGAATCTAAGCAGTTGAGGTTTATATTCCTGTGGAATGATGTGGGAGAAAGAACTCTTGTCTGTCGGAGGCAAGTGTGAATATTGCCATTGGCCAGCTTAATGAGCATTGAATGGCCTTGCAGCTTCAAACCCTGGCTGATTCCTGCCTGGGGGAATCCTTTGCTGGAAGGTGTTAGCTGGCCCTGATTGTTTCCCCTGTATTCTGAGTGTTGCTCTTCATTTACTGACCCGACTTTAGGGATTTTGAATATTGGTGGCCAGATTGTTTTCATTTCCATGGTTTCCTTCTTTCTGTTCAAAATGTCCACCTGCTTCTTGTGGATTTCAGTGGCTTCTCAGTGGTTGTGAGAGTGGTGCAGCATTTCTGTGTTCTCTTTTGGACTGTCACTCCCATCATCCCCATCCTTCAAAGCTTGTTGGGAAGGATGAAACTACCAAAAATGCCCCTTTGGACTGCCAATCCCAGCATCCGCAGCCCTCTAAGGCCTCTAGGAAGGATGAAACTAGCTTAAAGTTGCCTTTTGGACTGCCACTCCCATTATCCACAGCCCTCTAAACTCTTTGGTAGGATGATGCTACCAAAATGCCTCTTTGGACTGCCAGTCCCAGCATACCCAGCCCTCTAAACCCTTTGGGAAAGATGAAACTATCTTAAAGTAGCTTTTTGAACTGCCACTCCCATCATCCACAGTCCTCTAAGCCCTTCGGGAAGGATGAAAATACCAAAAATGTCCCTTTGGACTACCAATCGCAGCATCCCCAGCCATCTAAGGCCTTTAGGAGGGCTGAAACTATCTTGAAGTAGCCTTTCAGACTGCCAGTCCCATTATTCCCAATCCCTCTAAGCCTTTTGGTAGGATCAAATTACCGAAAATACCCCTTTGGACTGCTAATCCCAGTATCCTCAGCTCCTTTAAGCCCTTTGGGAAGATTGAAACTGCCAAAATTCCCATTTGGACTGCCACTCCCATCATCCACAGCCCTCTAAACTCTTTGGTAGAATGAAACTACCAAAATACCCCTTTGGACTGCCTTTAGGAAGGACGAAACTATCTTGAAGTAGCCTTTTGGACTGCCACTCCCATTATCCACAGTCCTCTAAGCCTTTTGGGAAGGATGAAACTGCCAAAATACCCATTTGGACTGCCACTCCCATCATCCACAGTCCTCTAAACACTTTGGTAGGATGAAACTACGAAAAATACCTCTTTGGACTGCCAGTCCCAGCATTCCCAACATTCTAAGGAATTCAGGAAGGATGAAACCATCTAAAAATAGCCTTTTGGACTGCCACTCCCATTATTCACAGCCCTCTAAACCTTTTTGGGAAGGATGAAACTACCAAAAATGTCCCTTTGGACTGCCAGTCCCAGCATTCCCACGCTCAAAGGCCTTTGGGAAGGATGAAACTATCTTAAAGTAGCCTTTTGGACTGCCACTCCCATCATCCACAGTCCTCTAAACCTTTTGGGAAGGATGAAACTGCCAAAATACCCATTTGGACTACAAATCCCAGCATCCCCAGCCCTCTAAGGCCTTTAGAAAGGGAAAAAGCTAGCCTTTTGGATTGCCACTCCCATCATCATCCCTCTAAACCTTTTGGGAAGGATAAAACTACCAAAAATGTCCCTTTGGACTGCCACTCCCATCATCCACAGCCCTCTCAACTCTTTAGTAGGATGATGCTACCAAAATGCCTCTTTGGACTGCCAGTCCCAACATCCCCAGCCATCTGGGGCCTTTAGGAGGGCCGAAACTATCTTAAAGTAGCCTTTTGGAGTGCAATTCCCATCATCCACAGCCCTCTAAGCCCTTTGGGAAGGAAAAAACTACCAAAGTATGGGGAAAATCCCCTTTTGGACTGCCGCTCCCAGCATCCCCAGTCGCTATAAGTCGATCGGCAATTTGAAAGGACTTAGATGCACCTAGGAGACCTAACAATGGTTCAGTTTGCTCTCAATGCCACAGGTGAGAGTTTTCCTTCTCGAATCATTGGGGATAAAGGTTGCTTTTGGGGCGGTTCTATCTCCAAGGCTGGCCGGCGGATGCTGGGATTGGCAGTCCCGAAAAGGAGACTGGGAAGGAATATGCCCGGAGGAGCTTCTTATTTGAGAGGAAGGAACTGGCCAAACCACTTTCGCGCATTCCTCGCCTGCGAGATT